CTCTTCCATATCACTCTACTTATCTTTATCCCCATGGTTGGCTAACACCCACTCTCCCAACATTCTCCTCTGTTTCCACTGAGTCTAGAGATGAAGTAGTAATATTTATACCTCTACTTACTAGGATATGGCTCTCACAGGACATTCCGGTCGGTCGGGTTAGCAGACAATACCGTAATGAGATCACGTGATGAGATGGTGACCTGCTACGAAGCTATGCATCCGCTATACACTACCCCAGCGGCAAGTTTTGCTGCATCCCATGGAGCGCCTTTGCAAACTCTGGCCATCACTCCAATGTTGCGAATCATATCGTGGTGAACGTTTTCAAGTGAATGATCAAACGTTTCTGTCATCAGGACCATCAAAGAATGAAGATGAAATGTGAAATTAGAGACTACAAGACTACATGACTATATATAGGGGAAGTTCTCTACTGGTGTGATTTACACAAACAGAAATAACAAACAGCTACAAAATTCACACATCACAACAGAACATTGGTAGGATGTGCGAGAATTGTCTGCTACTCAAGACAATGTGACAATAGTGGAAATATCACAGAAGTACTGTAACAATAACGTATGCTGATTGTGTCGCTACAAGAGTGTTATCTTTTTTTTAGGTTATGTTTGTTTGGTAGTTGTCCCCAGCAGTACAAATCTAGTAGGATTTACGAATACATTTTCAACACCTGTCTGCCTCAGTAACAAGTATGCGTATGTATGTGAAAGCTGAGACTACCATTCGTAACGGGTCATTTGCGTGTTGAAGACGATACTGTTAACCCAGTAGTTTTCCTGCAACCTCGTTGACACTGACATTCATGCAAACATGTACAAAGAAGCTGGTTGCTACTTTGAAGTACGTCATTAGATAGTACTAGCAGATATATCAACCTGCTACGTCCGTTATCCCTAGCCATGGATTGACCTGTGTGTGTAGCACGTGACGCAAATTGTATGGAGAAAATTCTGAGTCTTGCAGCAGACGCCCAGGGTGTGATATCCAACCTCAGTGTCAGAAAGAAAAACATTGTTCGTGCATCTATGTTTGTACTCATGATCTGTTTGTTGTGGATGTCAAGTGTACATCACATTTAGTGTTCACTACTCTCCAGTGTATATAGTGGAGAGTTGTACTGGGAAGACATCTGTTACATTTCCAGTATCTACAGTACATGTATGATCATTAGTCACGGCAAGAGCAGCAGTGCCACCATCAAGTCATCTCCACTACCCTGATACCTGCCAACACACACCACATAGATTGCTACAAAGTAGCAGGCATCATCAGGGAGAATGGATTAGGCTAGCTTGGACACATAGCAGGGATGTATGACAAGCGTATGTCAAAGTCTGGTATGTTTGGACAGCTCTGTGCAATGCGTTCTCAGCATGGTCCTCGCAGGCGATGGTGTGATGTGGATGGTGAATGATATGCAATCCCTTAGTCAGTCCCTGTTCTCCGTTGACTGCTGCTATACTGGTGTCCAGGTTGGTTTTGTTTACACACACGTTGCTCATGGTCGTAGTCACACTGGACCTACTCCAGGTCGAGATCGATCAAGGTTTACACTGTACAACACACAAGGTCTGTAGTCAATACGGACATCTCAACCATCACACACCATACTGAAAAGTAGGTAATTACATCATGTAGTCCCGTCTCTAACATTCACTGGGTTGATGTACACAGCTTGGATCTGAACAACGGACTGTGTTTAAAAAAACATGTAGTTATGATCAATACTACCCTCGAACAACACTACTTCATTCATTCACTGCTGATTTCTCTGCTCTTTCGATTTGTTCGCTCCTCCGTGCTCATTTGACAACATGTATCTGATGCATGTTGTTGGTGTTGAGGTGTCCGGGACCATTCATAATAATACGCGAATGACTGTTGGGACATTCTTCCAAAACATGACGTCACAGAATTCGTGAAAAAAGACAACTTTTGGCTAGCCTGTCGCAAGCGCGAGACTCATCAATACACACACATATCATGGGCGCGCTCGAGCTGCAGCAAATACGAAGCGCCACACACGCGCGAGCGCGACCCAAACTGTGTCACGCGCGTGTGTGTCGAATCTGGCCGTCATGATCGCCTTCGATTATTTATTTTCGTTCTAGTCGACAATTCCAAAACTCAGTGCCATTCATTGGCTTTAGCTTTGCCCTTGAACTTGAAATCTCGTGCCTTATTCTTTCTTGGGGACTGGTGTTGGATATTGAACGGGCGGAGTGACCGCGGGGATGATGGATGAATTAGATGATGGCCTAATCTTGGCTGGGCGCATTCTCATTTTCGCGTGGCCTGCCACTAGTGTTTGATTCACAAAGGGTGTGGCAGGCATAGCTGGAGGAAGAAAGGTGATGTGAAGTTCTGCCATCGCAGCACTGTATAGAGGGCCATTAGAGGCTGTGTAGGCTGTATGTAGCATTGTTTGATTTAGCTCAGTGCTGAGCTTGCACCACACCACAGGTAGCATATTGAGTATTATTTACATTTTCCATATTACTTGAACCGCTCTATGAACGTGAGGGGTTCAGAAAAACCTTTACTGGCGCTGCCCCGTCGTAAAAGTAAGAAATTAAAACTGGCTCATTGTACCCCCAAATGTGAACTGATCCACCTAAATCGCGAATGACGTGACCCGAACGCAGCAGTAGCATGATGGTGCACTTGTGGTGTGCCGCAGGGCTCTGTACTAGGAGGACCCATGCTGCTCTCCATATACACCAGAGATATCCCCTCGGAATCTGCGCCGGCATCATCACTGCAGTTTGCGGATGACATCGCCCTGACACGTGCAAGACGGACAGCGCAAGAGGTGTCTGATGCGCTCAGCTTGGTGGTTACCTCCCTCTCAAGTTGGCTGGACGCTCGTGGTCTTGTATTAGATGCAAAGAAGAGCAATGTATTGGTTTTTACCAGCAGCAGTGGGCAGCAGCCGGACGTGGTTGTGCGCTGTCGAAATGATGTCCTTCCGCACACCACCAGCGCGAAATACCTTGGCGTCTTAATCAATGAACGAATGGCCTGGCAACCGCAAGTTGACCCGTGCATCTCACGCACTGCTAGGAAGATCGGTAGTCTGTGGCGGGCGCGACGCTGCCTCACTCTAGCTAGTCGAAGCAAGTACTTCCTATCTGTCATCATGCCGGATTTGATATATGGATCGGCAGCATATGGCTCCGGCTTGACCCACAACCAGCTCTGCCTAGACTGCCTCCCGTTCATTTCTGTGCTCCTGTCTTTATTCTCGTCAGCCGTGTACTTCAGCAGTTCAATTCTGTGCTCCAGTCCTCTTTATTCTCGTGAGTTGTGTACATGTACTCGTTTTGCTGTTTTTCTGGTTTATTTGAATTCTCACAGTTAATGTGTAAAATATGTACTTCAGTTATTCTCTCCTCCCTCTTCTGAGTTTGACACTCCGCTGGCCTTCTCTCCTCCCTCTTCTGAGTTTGACACTCCGCTGGCCTTCTCTCCTCCCTCTTCTGAGTTTGACACTCCGCTGGCCTTCTCTCCTCCCTCTTCTGAGTTTGACACTCCGCTGGCCTTCTCTCCTCCCTCTTCTGAGTTTGACACTCCGCTGGCCTTCTCTCCTCCCTCTTCTGAGTTTGACACTCCGCTGGCCTTCTCTCCTCCCTCTTCTGAGTTTGACACTCCGCTGGCCTTCTCTCCTCCCTCTTCTGAGTTTGACACTCCGCTGGCCTTCTCTCCTCCCTCTTCTGAGTTTGACACTCCGCTGGCCTTCTCTCCTCCCTCTTCTGAGTTTGACACTCCGCTGGCCTTCTCTCCTCCCTCTTCTGAGTTTGACACTCCGCTGGCCTTCTCTCCTCCCTCTTCTGAGTTTGACACTCCGCTGGCCTTCTCTCCTCCCTCTTCTGAGTTTGACACTCCGCTGGCCTTCTCTCCTCCCTCTTCTGAGTTTGACACTCCGCTGGCCTTCTCTCCTCCCTCTTCTGAGTTTGACACTCCGCTGGCCTTCTCTCCTCCCTCTTCTGAGTTTGACACTCCGCTGGCCTTCTCTCCTCCCTCTTCTGAGTTTGACACTCCGCTGGCCTTCTCTCCTCCCTCTTCTGAGTTTGACACTCCGCTGGCCTTCTCTCCTCCCATCCCCTTACATCGTATTGGGCCTCCGCACACACTACATTGTCACATAGCACAACTCAACCATTCGCTACCCTGTTATTGAGCACTCCTGCTGCTCGTTTGGTCTCGCGAATCCAAATAAAATCAATCAATCAATCAGGTTCCTACCTGTGGATGCAGCTGGGGACGCTGGTCCACAGGCCATGGTCGTCGATGAACTCCCATGTTGGATATCCGATGGAAGTAACTATGTGACTAGCAAAGTTACACTGCCACTGATACCATGTACTAGTGATGGTGTTACCCTATGATGTGCTGTGATCCTGTGCCCTCCCGACCTCGTGCTACTGGTGCCTTCGGGTCCCGTCATTCGCGATTTAGGTGGAGCAGTTCACATTTGGGGGGACAATAGAGAGGCTAAGATGCACGTTATTTCTGACGTGACGCGAAAGTTCAGCTCGCGTTATTTGCTCGCACGTCGAAAAATCAATGCGAGTGACCTGCTGCTCACGTCGAAATTTGGAGTTTTACGCCAAATTTGACGTGAAATTGCACGTCAAGTCAGAAATAACGTGCATCATAACCTCTCTAATGGGCCAGTTTTAATTTCTTACTTTTACGACGGGGCAGCGCCAGTAAAGGTTTTTCAGAAGCGCTCACAGAGCGATTTTTATATGGATAATTTCAGTTCTTTTTCCGTTCCCTCCCCGCCCCAACCCCGAAGGTAAACATGATGAACACGCGCGCGATGTACTGTATGTATGCATGAGAGTACGATAACACACTGATACATACCAGCCCTCTCCACCTCGCTTACCCCGCACACAGATACACAAACACGCGGATGCACACGGCACACATACGCACATGCACACGACACAAACAGGAAATTCTTCATGTAAAATGCCATGCAAAGCAGTGGCCACCGTACTTCAGGAAGTCAGTTGTGGAACAAAATAATTCAACTACAACGTGTAGACAAGCTGACGGCCAAAGCACAACATAGCAAACATGACATTTGCCCAAGGATTGCAGTTTGCAGACCACGCCATGGAAGCAGCGAAAATACAGAATGTAATATCATACAAAGTGACAAGCAAAGAAGTGGCCACCATACACCAGAGACTTGCAGAAAGTCACATATCCAACAGATAGAAAAGTGAACAGCAATCTGGTACAGCCCACACAAGACAAAGCTGACCTGATACTTGTCCCAGGATCGCAAGTGGCAGATCCTTTTCGATGCATAACATGCAGGTGTACGTTACACGCATGGACAAAATCTGACCGTGTCGCCAGCATACAATGTCATCACATGTATACCCCACAAGTTACACACATGCACAGTAGAAGCACAATGAAAGCAATGGAAAAGTACGATGTGGTTGCTGAAGCATCTTCGCACTTCAAATTCAGACTTCAATGTGGTTGTCACGGGATGATATACCTGCAAGATACAAGTGATGCAGAAAGAAAGCATAAGGTCGTGAGGTAGGCTATGAGACACCACAAACGGGTCACCTACATGTATGTTCAGGGCTAGTGCACTCGCACGCAGAATTATCATAATCGAGCATTTCCCAAACTGAGAAGTGCAAGGAAATCCACTTGCATGCACAGGAGCAATTTTGCCGCTGGTGTGATGCGCAATTCGAGACAATCTGCGATGCTGCGTGCTCACCTCTGATGCCGATTACTTCCTTGCTTAGATTGGCCCGGTCTGCTCTCCCTTCACTCTCTTCTAAATCCTACTTGGAGCAGTAAGGCTGTGTCACTGCTCCTACTGATAACCCAGTTAGGTTGTGGTCATTGTTGTGAAAACAATATCATCGTCATTGTGGTAATAACATACGTTTTTGCACAGCGGCTGGCGCTAGAACGTGCAGCAAGCAGCACGCTTGTACTTCGGATTTTGCGATTTTTTCGAGGGCAATGGCTTTTCTTTTTGTTTTGGCTACCTACGAAGTACGACCAAAAAATCTATGGAGTAGGAGTGGGGTTGTCTGATAAGTGCTAGGAGAACCCTCCTTTGTGGCTGTAGATCGCTAAAACGTGCCCTGTTGGCCGAAAAATCCGATTTTTTTCTCCGGGGGACACCCCCGTTGTACCACTCCCAACCGCCCTGTGACGCCCCTGTCATTGTAGCTTACCTGCTGTCTTTCTTGGAGATGCAGTAGCAGCTGAGGACTTGCATACAATCTCTGTTTCAACTGCAACTATTTCCACAATGTTGTCAGGTATTGGTGCGGGCGACACACGCAGATTCTACACACGCAGAAGGAAAGAAACACCATGAACATATACCTGTTACTACATGTACATGTACATGTTGCCACTGTCAAATATTCCACAGGCAGATGGTGGGGATGGAGAGGAGAGCAACATCAGCAACAGCAGAAGCAGCAGAAGCAATAGCTGCACTATTAGCAGCAATAGCAGCAGCAGCAGCAGTACCACACAGCAATTCACCACACCATACCTCAGATTGTATTGCCGGTATGAGCATAAAATGTCCAGTGGCCTTGTCCTCGCGAAACCGGCTTTCATACTCGTTCAACAGAATCTACAGCGCACTTTGCACAGGAGAATTCATACTCATTCAACAGAATATACAGCATACATTGCACAGGAAAATGCTTGTACATTGCAGAGGAGAATACAGGCTTTCATACTCGTTCAACAGAATCTACGGTGTACATTTGACAAGAGAATACAAGGCATAACGATTAAGCAAATCTACGCCAATAGTTATGTATGTCCCTGAAGATAGGCTACTGTAAAACCGGAAAATTTAGGTGGAGATTTATTTTCGGTAACTTCGGTTTTACCCACACATCACACACGACAACTTACCTCCACGGTCGACATGAGCTCCCCAGGATCCCCCAGCTCCTCGGGACACGCCCTCACCATTGTCGTGGAAACGTTCAGCTCGACCAGCAGCCGTCGCAAGCCATCAATCTCATACGAGCTGAGACAGGCCATGTCCGAGAGCAGGCAGGATGGCGGTGATGGAGGTGGCTTGCCGCCTTGTGAGCTGTTCCCATCTCCTGACGAAGCAGCAGCAGCAGCAGCTGCCGCCGTCGCTGGCGACTGGGCTGCAGTGTCATCCGTTGACAGCAGTGGGATCTCGGCGCATGCGGGCGCAGTAGAGAGCTTCGCTGCGTCCGTATCTGTCAGCGATCAGACAATCAGAATATACAAGCCCATATTTAGGCATAGGATACCTGCCGTGAACAGCATTCAACCGGCAACACCCAACAACAAGAGTACTGTAATTTCACAAATTGTTGGTGTACTTTTTTTTCGGTACGTTTGGTGGGTCTGTTTCATACCTAAAGTTTCAATACACCGAACAAACACTAACACACATAATCCAATAGGGAACTGCTTCTCTGC